CCACGTCTCCCGTCAAGTCTTCGATGACCAGCTGGGTCAACAGATCCAACCGCCCTGGAGACCCTTCCCCGGGCCCTCAGCACCCCCACATTCTCCCCCTCTTGCCCCAGGGCTCCTCACCAGCTCGTGCCCCCCCTATTCTTTGGGGACCAGATGCCCTCCGCTATTCTCCATCCTCGCCACCCGCCTCCGTTCTCCCCCGGACCGGGGGCTCCAGACGGACGGCGGTTGCTACCCACCTTCGGGGTTTTCTCGCCCAGGGGTCGTGGGGACGGCGGCAGGTACACGGATCCCGGCACACGCGCGAAGGCGCGCCCCCCAAGGCCTTTGGCGCGGCTCTGCCAGGCTCCGGCGCGGGAGAAAGGCAGCCAAGCCGGCGAGGCGGGCAGCGGGAGGAGCGTCCAAGCCGGGGAGGGACCGAGGAGGGCTCCGAGCGCCACCTGCCCCGCTCCCCGCACGGCTACTGGACTGGCTGCAAGGCGGGCGTAACGGCCGCGTATGGGTCTCGGGGACGGGCGGGGGGGGCGCCCTCGTCACGGCCGTCCGAATGCGAACCGGCCTCTCCTCCGACCCGGGAAGGCGGCGCGCGAGCGATGTCGCCGCATTCCAGGAGCGGATGGGCGCGCGCGCGCGTGCTTTTTCAACATCATCTTTCGTTGCCCCCGCAACATCCCTGCTCAGACAGCGAAGATGCTGAGTGCGTGTGGCCGGCCTAACGGCCCAGAGCAAGGTGCGCGTCGGAAGGGCAGATGGGCCCTGGGCTCTTAAAATATTTGATGCCCTATCTATCTATCTATCTATCTATCTATCTATCTATCTATCTATCTATCTATCTATCTATCTATCTATCTATCTATCTATCTATCTATCTATCTATCTATCTATCTATCTATCTATCTATCTTGCAGTCTTCCCAGGATGTGGAAGTTATTTTCAGTGAACCCATTTCTCAAAATCTCTGATAGTGGCCATATAGGTTGAAGGCTTCCTCAACTATGGGAGATTATCTACTGTTAGCTTTCATTGATGTGGCAGTTATTAAAGATAAGCATAATCATCATCACCTTGGAACTGCAGAGCTGAAAGGGACCCTATGCCTCATCCTTGTCAAGGAGGGACGGGGGGGGGGAATTGAACTCCCAACCTCTGGCTCCATAGCCAGATGCCAAAATCACTGAGCTATCCAAGTCCTTGATTTCCAACCAGAAATTGGCATGATGACATCTCTTCCCAGCACCTGTAATACATTATCCCCACACCTTGTTCTGCTACTCTCCTAGTTGCAGTCATATATTTTGAGTCACTCTGTCATTAATTTATATCTATTTATATATTTCCTTGCTACCATCCTACATCATGAGCTACTGTTGTTGTGAGCAGGAAATGAACAGTGGTGCACTGGATTTAGGGCTTGCAGGATTGCAACACCGGCTGGCTTCCCTCTTTTTTAATTGGAGGGGCAGTGATGTCACCTGCCACACACCCCAGGCATCACTGTTTCCTCTGACCTTATTTCTGTGGCCTGGCTCAGCATGAGTGAACCAAATAAATACAGAGAGATGCGATTCTCACTGTTGCCATGACACATACACAGACTTTCCCAGCAACCGGATACAGTATTTATCATGAAAGCTGCCAACTTGATGGCAGATAACCATAACAACACTCACGTTGTAGTGCAAAACAAGTGCTTGATCTAGAACGAGCAAAGAAGGTCTACTAGTTATACAGAAGAAGGAAAGTGATAGAACTGGTTCGTTGATGTAGAGCAACACGTCTGTCTCAATTTCTTTTATCTCTCCACCCCCGGGGTTTGGTTGATGGGATGAGTGATGAGCACCTGAACTTCAAAGTTTAGTGTTACACCTCTGTAATAGATCATTTTTATTACATGTGATGGAGAGAAAAGTAGATGATATGGTGACGTGATCATTCCCAGTTGCATATATAGTATTATCCTGAGCTAAATCTCTCTATTAACTCGGGAATCACAAACACCCAGTGTCCCTTTTGTTGTTTATTATAGTAGTGAGAATGCAATGGATGAATTCAGGCCAGTTCCATTCTCAGTGGCCGGGCCGGGAGGAGGCATTGCTTTGCCATTGTGGCATGCAATGGCTGAAATCCAGTAGCAAATTGTAGCTATGTAGCTAGAATAGCCTCATTGACTCAATGGAACTCATAGGGAGTTGACTCACCCAATCCCCACTGATCCAACGGGACTACTTTAGTGGTGACATATGACTGGATTTCAGCCAATGTGTAAGAATGCGAACAGGTAAGAGTGGGTGATAGCTTTTATGCAAAAATGTTTTTTGATGTACTGCCAACAGATCAGCTTTCTCTGGAATAAGGCTTTCTAAATGCAATAATAGATACTGCTGTGATATGAGAGATATTAGAAGTGATTACTGCATGAGTGAATTGGTTTAACTGTCATGAGGATGATGCAGTGAAGAACGTGATGCACTTCGTAAAGCCAGGGAGAAATCCCATAGGTATCAGTCAGGATTATTACCAAATAAACATTCTTATATTGGAGGCATCTCCAGGAAAACTCGCTTGGGAGACTAAAGGGAAGGGAAGGTGCAGGCCGTAACTAGGGAGCATTTTTTTCTTACTATTAAACATTTGTTTGCTTCCTTGCTTGATGTGTATCCCCACTATATTGCCAAAAAAGAAATAGCAGTATTTTCTGCAACTGGACACTGAGAGTATGTATGGGAGGGAGGACCATGTTTTTAGGGGCTGCCCACTATCTCTCTCTATCTCCTGGAATCACTCTTTGCCAAGATAAAGGTGGGAAAAAGCTGGCATTGCTGACAAATAGTAGATGAGCATGGCTGCATGAAGATTCAGTTATGTTGGTTGTTGTGGGTTTTTTGGGCTCTCTGGCCGTGTTCTGAAGTTTGTTCTTCCTAACGTTTCGCCAGTCCCTGTGGCCAGCATCTTCAGAGGACAGCACTCCGTGCTCTGGTCAGAATGCTGTCTTCTGAAGATGCCGGCCACAGAGACTGGCATGCAGTCTTCTTCCACTGCATGTTTACTTGTATGGCTATTAAAGAGACTGCTGTTTCTTGATTTCATTTTCCTATCTGTAAAACTGGCATGGTAGCTTAATTCACAGGGTTGTTATATGGAATTGTGGCGTCCACCCTCATGCCCCTTTTGCTTGACCTTCAAGCCTCAGAGCACACGAAGGCAAACACTCTCCTCTTTAACACTGCTGCCACCAGGTGATCCCTAAATCACCATAACCTCAGAAAGATTCAGGTCCACTCTTCAAGTTCTTTTAAATAAAACTTTGGTTTATTGATTACAGAGATTCATAAATAGCTTCAGTAGCTAATCACACCTAAATTTCCCAAACTACACACTCTATTACACTCACTGAGTCTTACTGACTTAATCTCTACTGCCTGACTTTTACATTTCTCTTACTGACTACACACTGACTGCAATATTGACTCAGGCTCTGCCTCTTATAGCATCTCTCTTGGCTCCGCCTCTCAGCAACATTAATATGCATGAACCCTTATTACATAACACACATGAACCATTACGTAACATAACATGAACTATAGATCTAGTAAATAGAGAACACTACAGGAAGAAATGACTTTGTCGAGACCTCCATTATGACTTCAAGGCTTAGTTTTTAAAAATCCCACTGATAAGACTTGCTGGGAAATAATGTTAGGAAAGTTTGAAGGCAGAAGGAAAAGAGGAAGATGAAATATAAGATGGATTTACTCCATAAAGGAAGCTACCACCTTGAGTTTACAAGACCTGAGCAGGACTGTTGAGGACAGGACACTTTGGCGGCCACTCTTTCCTAGGATCACCATAAGTCAGAGCTGATTTGATGGCACATAACAATAAAGGAGCTTACTCCATAAAATTGGTGCGTGGATAAAATGGCTTAATCACTACCTCCATTGTGCCTCCAAGGCTTAGGGTGTGGTTATACTGACAATCAGAACTACTTTTGAATCAGGTTTTGCAGAATCAAAATTCATTTGAAAAATTCTGACTACATGATGCATGGTGAAGCACACTTTTTTTTGGGGGGGGCTGCAAAGCAAGGTGTTTTTTAAAAAAAGAGATTGGTGGGGATTTTTAATTTAACACATTTGTGAAATTGATTCTTTATGAATTACTTTGGGCAACGTGAACACCCCTGTCATATTAAATACTGCCTTTGTGGGTGGGTCATGGGTTTCAGAAGTGATGTCATTATTTCGCTATGCCACTTAATTTTTTTTAAAAGAGAGAGATGCACGCATTACAAAGGATGCCTGAAAACCAAAGAAATACTGTACTATATTGAAAACAATTAGGAAAAAAGAAGGATTGCAATCCTTGGCGATGCACTGAGATCAGCGACAACGGAAACTGCAAACATGCTGGTTAGTGAAACGATTTAAAATCTCATATGTAGTATCCTGAAATGGTTATAAGGCCCTAGTGTGTATGGGAGTAAATAATTTTGAAAGTGAACACACACAATGATACAAAAAGCATATGTAACCACACCTTCAGCTGAGAAAAAAATCCAGCGACACTCAGAATCATTTCTATTCAACTGTGTAGCCAAATGAAAGGGGAAGATTTTCATGGGAAAGGAAGCCCTCTCCTTCATTCAATAACAATCACCCCCACTCTTATAGCTACAATTCATTAAAAAAAAAGAGAGGGGGGGAACTTGGCTGTTTGGCTCTTTTTTCCATTACATCTCTGGCCAATTTGAAAAATGAGCTGAGTAGATAGCTTAGTGAGTTAGGCAGAGGTTGAGAATTCAGTTCCCCACTGTGTTTCCGAGAAGAGCCAGCCTATATGGCCTTGGGTAAACGGCACAGTCCATGTTGTTCCCCCCAAAAAAGGAAATTTTGGACCACTCCCGAGGATTCTCTACCAGGGAAACCCTGTAAAAGGGTCTCCATGAGTCAGAATTGACTTGATGGCCCACAATTGTTATTAGTGCAATAATAGTATTTTGGAATTGATGGCCAGCAGCTATTTAGTGGAACGGATGCTGAAACCAAATCCCTATGGAACAGTAAGAGTGAAATGGATTTCCTCTTTGAAAATTAAGTTGGCAAAATAAGTTGATGAATGTAGATTGCCTTACTTTGCTCCTATACAGAGTTGCCAGAGGGTGCCCACAAAAACTCTGGACCAAATCACAGATCATACCACCGAACCATATAGAGCATGCCAACATTGTGTGGTTTTGGAAGCTAAACAGGGTCAGGTGTGGTTATTTGTTGGATGGGGACACAGGTCCTTTTAGGGGGGAGAGTCTGCAACTCAGTGGTAGAACATACACTTTGCATTCAGAAGGTCCCAGTTTCCAGACCTAACATCTCTAGGAAAAGCATCTTGTCCAAAACTGTGGAAATAAATGGCTTGCCGTAGTATAAAGCAGTATCCTGTATTCCTGACACAGTTTGGTATAATTTTTTTTAAAATTTACATTAATATTTAATTTTTTTCTACAAGAAGGACCAGATGGCGTGTGAGCAATGGTGTGATTTGATTTAGACATAATTAAGTAAGAAGATTGCCGGAAGAAATACAGTATCAGCAACCTCAGATATGCAGATG